ATAGTTTAGTATTCTAATAATCCTAGATTAATAGTGATCCTAATATCCTAGTTATCTTAAATTAAGACTGATCTTAATATTCTAATGATTCTGCATTAATGGTGATTCTAATATTCTAGTGATCCTAAATTAATACAAATCCTAATGTTCCAGTGATTCTAGATTAGTAGTTGTATTAATAATTTAGTATTCTGATAATCCTAGATTAATAATGATCCTAATATCTTAGTCATCATAAATTAATACTGATCCTAATATTCTAATGATTCTGAATTAATATTGATCCTAATATTCTAATGATCCTAAACTAATAATAATTCTAGTATTCTAATGATCCCAGATTAATAGTGATCCTAATATTTTAGTCATTCTAAATTAAGTGACCCTGATATCCCAGTGATCCTAATATTCTAATGATCCTATCTATCCAATCTAGCGATTCTAATATACTAGTGATTTTAAATTAATAGCGATCTTAATATTCCAATGATTCTAGATTAATAGATTAATAGATTGTATTAATTGTTGGCAGAACAACGAGGTTGGAAACGTTGCTGAGGCTCGAAGGGATCCAGCGAATTTCGTCAATACAGATGACGAAGAGCTGGCTGGATCCGGTGAAAACGAAGGCAGTGCCTTCGACGCAGACAAAACAGCTCACTACGTACCTAGCAGAAGAGAAAGAAGTAGGCAACTTTTATAATCGATCTACTCGATTCAATTGAATATCGATATTCTGAATTTCCTGAAGTGTTTATAACTTGGACATCTCGTTGCAGAGTATTACAGAATAACGTTGACTGTCGGAGAACCGTACAGAAGAGAATATGCTGACAGGAGTAGCAGAGAGTATAAGGAACTGAGTGGTAACCTGACGCAACCGCTCGAAGAGCTGCTGAACCGGGACATTCCGAATGAAAGTCACCATGTCAACGTTGTGAAAATATCGTGAGTCTAATGTTACAGTTTCTTCTCTCGGTTAATCTCTGAAGGGAAGCTTTTCTGGTTACACGAGAAACCGAGTTCTTGCCAAATTAATAGTTGCATCTAATTAACACTGTGGCAAGCAAGTATAGTGGATTGAAACATGAAATTTATCTTTCTTACATTACTCTGGTATCTTTTGCAAAGAGGATTTTTACAAAAGAAGAAATAAAAAAAGAAAAAGAAAAGATTTGTATTTTGGACTCGCGTTGATCTGATCGAGAAGATGGACGACAGTTGTCTAGGGTTAAAGGTAGTACAAATCCTCTTTGGAGATCGAGAAGTTGTATATAGGCGAGGCTGAATCAAACTGACTCGGCACACTAACAATCCCTCTTTGATGTTCAGGCCAACGTCCGCCGACAGCTTCACGTCACAAGTTACTCTAGACATCGGTTCGACGTTCGCGGACGAATCCGAGGTGCAGCACATCATCGAGAAACAACTGGAGATCCACTCGTTGGGCAACGTCCAACTACGTCCTGACGGATTCTCCTTCAGAATATTCCAAGGTAACTTGTTCGCGCCGCAGTGACGTGGGAATGATCGATCCCTCCTCGAAGACCACCCACACAACTCAAGATGATCATAATTCGAGAGAGAAAAAAATCTTCCCGAGATAAGATGGATGATCTATCTAAAATGTTGGGATCTGCTTCGAAGAGTCGGTCAATTCAATTTTCATACTCGCGCTCCTGTTCAAAAGCCTTCTTTTTTATTTCTAATTTTAGATAATACTATAGTAAAAATTCGTCGTGTTACACGTGGATAATGAAATTTACAAATTGTACGTTACACAATACAATTAGAATTGTATTTTATAGTACAACTATTATCCATGTACTTTGTAGGCTCTTCCTTATGTAAAGAACCATTTGTTGTACCCAACGTTTGTTCCCAGACTTTTGAACAGCAGTGTTTGCATGCTTCTTTGCCAGCTGTAATTGATATTAGACTCGCGACGTATCAGAGTTTTGTCTCATATTTTCGTTCTTTTATCTTTCTTTTTTTTCTTTGTTGCATCCTTTTGTCTATCTGACGTACAATTACACACGCATACACACACGAAACACGCAATTAGCTGAGGGAAAGATTGACGAGCCCGAGTGCGATCAGTCGACCGAGTTGAGGTGTAGAGATGGCGAATGCGTGCCGCTAGAGAGTCGCTGCGACGGTGTTTCGAACTGCAAGGATGGTTCTGACGAAGAGGGTTGCCCCGAAACGACAACGCGTGAGTATCAATGAAATTTTATTTATCTACGCGGTGTTTGTAAATACGTCAGACTTCTCTACAACATTATATATAAATAGTCATATTTGTTCATTCGACTTCTGGCGGAGACTCCGTTGTAATTAATTCATCGTAGTTGAATGATTGCATGCGAGATTCACTCGTCACCGTTTATACATAGCTCTCATTTTCTCATTTCGTCTCCTCAGCTTTCGCATATGTGTATATTTGTTCTTTCTTTTTATGTTTATAATTTATACTCGGTCACGTTAACCACCGCATGGTATCACGTCATTTCCTCGAATCATCGAACCCGATAGACGTCGAGGCGGTCACAGAAGTGCACGAAGAATTGCAAGGACCTGACAGGAATCTGGTAACATCGACGGATCTTCACGTCGCGAAAGAAAGCGACATAAGAACGTCGAGCAAGTGTCGCGCCGACGACACGGTCCGTTGTAGCGATGGAAGTCGTTACATCTGCTCTGTGCAGCAGTGTGACGGCGTGAAGGACTGTGACGACGGCGATGACGAGAACGGTTGCCCCCATCCAGGTACACACCTTGTCTTCCAATCACGTAATTATTGCTTGTACATAGATGAACTATGCTTCCACCAAATGTCAGATGTACATATATTATACTTGGTCTTGATCATCTTCACCACCACTTTTTCCCACAAAGAAGATTCCCAGTTCGTAGGTGGATAAAAAGTGAGGAATTTGATTGATCTTTCAGGCTGCAGTCCGGGAGAATTTGCCTGCGACGTGTCCAGATGCATTCTGGAGTCTCAGAGGTGCAATTTCGTCCAGGAGTGCGACGATGGAAGCGACGAACATGACTGCAACTATCCTGGCAAGTCAATTTTTATCGATCTTATTGATTATTTTACTTCAATTATTAATTTCTTATCATTATTTCCACCATTGTTCTTTTTTTCATTTCACAAAGTTTATTCCGCAATCAAAGAGTTCCACTTGTTATCCGATAACAGGGTAGAAATCAATCTTATCTTCTTACCGACCGTACGACTAACCATCAGAGACTTAGTTACCGACTAATGATTACCATACCGACAAAACGCGCAGTTTTCGTGGATTTTGGATCTGTTTTATCGACTCGTCGAATCGATGACCTCTCCAATTTTCGATTCTGGGCCAAGTCACAGATAAGTTGATCGTTTTGTCTTTTTCGCCTGGCGACTAATTAATTTGTATAATTGATATCAATGTCGGCTCGTCGGGGGCTCGCAAAGACGGAAGACGAGCCAGAACGTGCCGATGTTTCCCCGTGGAAAGAGGGTCAGGTGGAAGTCGCGACCAGGATGTACCTGCTGAATATTCAAAAAAACTCGAGGGCTTCTCCCTCTTCCGCTTTGTTTTACCGCGCTTTTTTCGCTGTTGAGAGGCGGATGATTATGGTCGACGGAAATCGGCCACGTGATGCTGGAACCTCGGCTCACGAGTTTCTTGCCCGTCATTGGAATTAGATCGAGATCGAATAACAAGTTGACCGAAAAATTGAATGGATAGAGGTGCGAGGAAGATGCAAATATTTCACAAACGACATATACACTTCACTCGCAATTTAATTCAATTTGATAAATTTGAACTACAAAATTCTCCCAAATCGAGATACTACTTCTCGACGAACAAAATGAGGTTCCAATTATGCATGTGCAATAAGGGCCTTGTAATCATGATCAGAGAATTTTTGAGCGAAACAATGCGAACGCTATGGTTTCAATTCAACGTTATTTAGATCTGTGGGCT